GACATCACTTGCACAGCTTTGCTTGTGTCCTTTCTTGACTTCCAGTGCAATGTACTCGGCACCATAGCTCCGTTTATAACCCTTCTCTTTCTCTATTGGCCCGCTTTTTCCAAAATCGATAATAATCAGGCGAAATCCATCCTTTTTTGTTTCGAGTAAAACATTGTTGGATTTCAGGTCATTGTGAAGAAAGCCTTTGCCATGGATGTATTCTAGAGTACCACAAATATCTTTAAATGTTCCGATGGTTGATGTTTTATTGAGCAGTCTTCGTTTTATTCCCTTGTGAAGGGTAAGGCTTTCCTCTCCACAGCCATGAAACTGGAGGACTAAACAGTATGGTTCCTGTTCGGTGCATATACCCAAAAGAAAAGGAAGCCCAGCATGATCACCGAGGCTATGCAATACATTAGCCTTGTGAAACACCTCAAGCTTACATCTTTCACCCTCTTTGAAAGTGTTATTCTGTCTTTTCATTTCCTTAACAACTGCTGTAATATTTCGATACCATGCCAGGAAACACTGTCCAAATGTTCCACACCCAACTGGTTCTCGAGAAATTTTGACAATTAACGAGCGGGTTGATTTCGCGCACTGACTTGGAGGTACTGCTGGGTTGCTTTTCAAGTTGACGGCTTGTTGTGAATTTAACTGTCCGTGCGATGGTTTTGCTGAACATTTTAGGATTGTGTGCGGAAATGTCCGGCCTTTTGAGCTTTACAAGAGCAAGCATTTTCTGACCTCTGCTCAAACCCTGGCTTGCTTCATATGTTATAGTTTCTGGATGCTTTGTTTTCTCTATCGAGACTTGTTCCTGTGGACATCCCTTATAGCCAACAAAACCATTTTTTTTCTTTTTTACTGCGCTAGCTCCCTCAACTTCTAGCCATTCTGTGTTACACTTTAACTTCATATTTAGGAAATCCCCGCACTCCAGATCATCATTGCCGGTTCCGTCAATCTGGTTCTGCCGCACATCGGGCATGTCAATGACGGCTAATGTTCCTCTCTTTGCTTCGTGCTTTTTCCTTTTTCGCTCCTTCCGAACCCGTTTCTTCCATTCCCGCTTTTGTCTCTTCTTCTCCTCTTTCGAATGTTGATGAGACCGGTACCTCTCGTCTTTCGCTGAAAACTGCGGCTTTTCCGACATCACGTAAAACACTAACCCACAATAGCAACGCTATCACTTTGGTGCGTTGCGTAAGAGAAGACAATTAATTCTCACTGGGACACCCTTGGGATGCACAATTTGCCTTTTATATTTTTCTTCCCTCAGCAGCTACAATAGCCGACTGACAACAGTAAGTCTTTACAAGTATTGAAATTATTTTCATAGTATACATTTTTCGCTCATATTGGCGTTGCAACCTCTCTTGCTTTTAATGCTCCAAAGCCAGTTGGGGTAGGGTGGGGGAAATTTCACGGGTTCTACTTCCGGTGACAATGCCAATGAGAATAAAGGCCTTCACATTTGCAATTCACGATGTCCGGGGCGCAAGTGTATGACTAGGCTATTCATTCTTTAGTATCATAATGCCGAGCTACACGACCGAATGTCCGTGCTGCAAGAGAAGTTTCAAAACCTTGTATTCTTTGGCCAAACACATGCGAGAACGCCACCAAGGAGAATATCCCCTGAATCCAGCTTTTAAAGATGGTGATGGAAATGTCACGACATTACCAAGGCCACGAGGGAACCTTGACCCGAAATATCAAGAAGGTTATCGACTACAGATTGGCGGCTTGGTGGAAAGAATAAACTCTATGTTTCATCCTCGTTTACCAGGTGAATTAAAACATTTAAGCGTTCACTAAGTTGAAAACTATCATGCAATGTGCAATGCCTGGGTTCCCCACTTGCGAGTAATGGTCTGTTGTTGGTCATAATGCGTCAGTCAATTCCAACAGTGGCCATCCCCCCCGGGCTAACGCCCAGGCATTAGCATTTTTTTTTAAAAAAGGAGCAAATTCCCCGGGGTGGGGACATATAAGCTTACTAAATGCCCCAGGGTTGGGACGAAGAAAGAAGGTAAATGCCCCATCCCCGGGATCGTCGCCTTCCGACACCTCTGCAGTTTTTTATTAATCAGTGAATAAATCGTTCGACTGTTCAGTATTTGAATGCAACGGTAAGACTTCAAGGACAACAGTACGTGTTAGCTGATTACCTTTAAAAACATCTACAAGTTTCTCTAGTCACAGACGGACAAGCCATTGTTCGACAAATGCCGCGTCTTTCCCGATGACCTCATCCATGGCACTTCGAAAACACACGTGTCAAATGCCCGGGGGTCGCCCTGGGCGCGCAAATGCCCAGCGCCAGGGCCGTGATAAGATTGCGAATGCCCCACCTCCGGGACTGACAATGTGAGCAAATGCCCTGCGGTTACCGGGGG